GCAAACATATTTTCTCTAAGAATAACAAGGTCACAGCATTAATGAGGAATACGTATTTTTCTGGAAGTGTGATAAGAGCAGCTTTACAGTTGAATTATCAACTAAATCTGTGAAAGTTTCCTGAGAAAAGTAACTGCACAGTTGATACCAGCTTAAATCCCCAAGCAAACCATCCAACAACACAGGTTATCCTATGTATATACAAAACCAGTATCCATTTTTATTCCAAAAATACTGTTGAAATCTCTGGCCACTTCCATTATACTAAGTTCATCATAAAAGATTTGGCCTTCAGTTGGTCACCTTTACATTACTAATGCATTAAACTCTAGGTAGCACAGATGTAATTATGTTCAAGTGTTTTCTAAAAAGAAATATTGGAATGATCAGAAATTATGTATTACATTAGGCTTTTGATAGCTTAGGAACTTGGTGTGTGGGTGTACCCATAAAGTCAGTCTCACCAGACTACATTTAAACTGCATACTGTTTATTGTTTGTAGAGATGGTAAAGACAAGGCAAATGCTTCCAGACTTTAATGAATGAAACTAGATGGAGCACTGGAAAATTGTCCAGATTTGTCAGCAATGTGGTTCAAAGTTCAAAACTGACAAATAAGTGTATTTTTTAATTTCCTTCAGCAGATTGATAACCCCTATTAACCACAACTTATCACTCCATAGACCATGCTATTTTATTTTTTCCTTTGAGGTTTTCTCCAGTACCTATAAAGTATCCTTTGAAAATAAAAATGGCTTTGTAACTGTAACACAGTCAGTTCCGTCAGTAACTGAGTGTTCTCAGGGCCAGCAACCACTTCAGCTGCTTCTTTCTGATGAATAATGCCCATTAAAATGAGTTCAAGTTGAGATTCAAATATCATTTTTATTCTTGTGCTTATTTACAAATTTTGTTTCTCCTGACAATAGAATTTAATCATTTCATGTCCCAAATGATATTTGTGATTGTAAAAAAAAAAAAAAAATAGTATTTTCTTTACTCATTATACTTCTTGCTTTTCTGCTTTTCTCCAGTTACTTGAAATGATCTTTTCTGTATGTATCAGTGTATGGAAAATAAACAGAGATGGCAATTAAAGGAGAAAAAAACTATAAACAAAACTATCTTAAAAAAAATTAAATAAAGAATGATTGAAAATTAATCATGTTTATGTTCACCTCCCTAAATATTACAGCAAACAATTTTACTGTGTAGCACCAGTTGAACAATTATTTTCTGGTAGTAGTGAAAATATTAATGGGAATTGAACTTTTATGGACTAAAACTAACTGTTAAGTGTTAGTAGAGTCTAGCCAGACCACAAAAAAAAACCCCTAAAATTTCTCATTTTACTTTAAAATGTTTTACTTTAAAAATCAGTTACATATAGTTAAAAATGCATGCCTAGAACCCTTCCCAGGGGAAGAAACATTTTGTTGACCAGTTGTACTGTTCCAAGAAAATGAATACCAGATAGGCAAACTGGAATAACTTTAAAGAACATAAATATGTGTTTGGGAACAGAAGACTGACTTTCCAGGAAAATTTTTTCATGCAAAAGCCATTTGATTAAACAACACTGACTACACAACCACCTGTAAGCCTATTGTGCTGTCTGAATTAAGAGCTTGCTTTTTAGAGTTCCCCAGATGATACAGCTAAGAAGATGCATATGAGCAAAGTTATCTGAAACAAGGAAAATCACTAACAGCACAGAAAATGTGCAAGTCACATTAACAAACAAATAAGTAAACCAGAAAGAAAAAGACAGAGAGGAATCTCTTTTCCTGCACAGTGTATCTAAAGGGTCTCCCATCATTCTTGGCTAAAAGCTAGCCTGGAAAGCACTCAACAATCCACTATAAGGTACAATCACGTACTGGCCAGAGTTGCAGATGATCTAATAGGTTTGCAATTATGTCCTTACACAGAACAAGTGCAAAAGGCTACAGCTGCTATAAACACTTCAAATAATATAGGAAAATCAATTCTGCAAAGTGGTAAAATTTCTGCTTTAGCAGGGCTTTTCGATCCTCTTCTAATAGTCTGAGATACTTTTGTTTGTCTATTTAATGTTCAGAGAATGCCTACCTAGGTACATTATGCCTCACTCCCAGGAAAAAAAAAAAACCGTAACTGCCAGATTAGAAAGTTACAGAATGACTACAGTATAAATGTATTTCTCCTCCAGGATTTACACTGCTAAAAGTCTCAGTGCTTATTAGAAGATACATATCTTTGAAGTGGAAAACTGTTAAAAAAAGTATGAAAAAGTCATAACAAATTGTTTTTAAAACAGTACTGTTGGTTCTGAATGGACACTTCAGAAATAAGTCTTAATCTATTTTTTAAAAGAAAGAATGGAAGTGGACAGTTCCCTATAAATATCCAGTTCATTCTGCTTCACTAAAGCTTACACAGTATCACTTTATTTTTCAAAATATCAGCCAGATTAAAGACAACTGCTGTGCTTATCCATACTGCACTTCTAGCAAAAAGCATGGTCAAACTGTGATGGACACCTCCTCCCATGCACTTCTGGGTTGAGACACTTTGTATACCTGTGTATACCTGTGTTTATATCGCAAGCAGAAGAGGACTGCTCTTCAGAAGCTTAAGCACCATCAATAATCACATGAAAAGTTATTCTGATTAGATCACACTTCTCCAGCTCAGATTCCACCCATTCCTATTTTAAAACCTAAATGTAGTATTTTATAGCAGTGACATTTTTAATTCAGATTGTTTTCTCTATTTCTAGTTCCAAAAATCTTTGAGGTTAATAACTATCAAAAGCTATTTAAGATAAAAGCAAAAGTATAAAAATGTTTTTATATCACAGGAAAAATGAGGATCTTTGCTTGTGGAACCACTGAAAAATTCATGTGCTCTCTACTCTCCTGCATATGACCAGGTTTCAATATAACAAGTTCCCTATTTTAAAAGGGAATTATTTTCAATTTTTAGAAACAATTGCATTTCTTGTTTTCAGTGCCTACTTTTTCAACTAACTCTACCAAAAGGAATCACTGCAATTAAATGAACCAGCAGCTATCCCTAAGAAAAGGCCAACATGTAACTAAGCAACAAAATAGGAGAAATGTAAATATTTTATGATGTGTAGCATGGAGCGTCTTCTTTGTAACTAGTAATATTTATTACCCTTACAGCACACACACTTCCAAGTAAGTAGCAATCTCATTGTTTCCATCTTTAGCTGACACAGAAATGAAATATGTTACCAGTATTAAAAATTCTTAACAAAAATAGAAGGTTGGGTGTTTTTACGAAGCCATTAAAGATGGTGGGTAGTGCCTCTTTAGTAGGAATAATATGCTAGACGTACCAAAATTGATAAGCAAGGGCACGTTTGGGAAATATTTGTAATTAGTTCCAATATCCCCATGAACATTTCCAAAGGACAGAAAAATTGCTAAAAGAGTGAAGTTAAAAGTTCCAACCCAGCCTTTCGCTGCCCTTCTCTGAACTTTCTCTAGTTTGTGACGAGTGGAACAAAATGGTCCAAAGTAAGTTAATATCACTTCTAAGTGTCAACCAAACCCATAGACTACTAGTTTCCCAGTCCATAATCCCATATTTCTTTCAGGAATTATTTTGTTTTCTCTACACTTATCCAATTATTTTTTTGGACATCTTAAATTTTTTATTCTGAATAGAATTTGGGATTCCTCCATAATTGTATTTACTGTGGATTTCAAGACATGATGCTTACCTTCTCTTCACCCTGGAGATTTCAAAACAACACTACAACCTATGGACTCAACCATAAAACTTAGTCCTCACCATAAGAATAAAAAGTTACAATGAACTAACAATTTCTAGTATGTGCATGTACTTTTCTTTTTCCGCTTTTGCTATCCAAGCAGAGAAATTACCCTCTTTTCAGAAACAAATTCTTTTTAATGCTCCAAACTCTGTTTTACCTTTTCCTTTTTATTTTTATTTATTTAATATAAATAAAATAGCTTCTAATGAATAGTGAGCAATAGCAGAGGCCACATGCTTCGAAAAGAAACATGGGTGGTCAAGCTTCCCAGCTTTTGGCCTGCCTTCTCTTAACACACCAGAGGCACATGCACACCACCACTCTGGTTATATGAAGGTTGCAGGCTTCTAACAAAACCTTGCTCAACAGAGAAGCTTGGCTGTCAGTATCTTAGAGGCTTCCAATTAGATTCTGAGATGCAATATATTTTTTTTAAATGAAACCTTAGGCTATTTTCATATATTTATTTCATTTTATTACAATTTTATTGCAGTAAAAAATGGTAACCATGAAGACTAAGATAAGGTATTGCCAAATTTGTTGTTATTTTAGGGGCGTATGTTATTCATCTACTTTCTTTCAGTATTTACCATCCATATTAATGAAATGCAAGTAAAATCTAGCGTAAGAGAAAAAGACTAGTGTTTTCATGATGTACGTTCAACAAAATAATGTTTAGAACTGCAAAATGCCTATATTTTTAATACTTTATATGCATATGTACATTTTTTGATTGACTACTTGAGGCAGCCTAATAAGAAATTAAATGAACCAAGCTTAAACATGACAAGCAATCCCCAAAACAAAAGAGAATTTCAGCAGCCTTAAATTGCTTTCCAATGCAAAAATTAAGTAATTTTTACTACTTGAGTAGTAAAGACTGAAGATCAGAAGGTGATAACTTAACTGCTGCAACTTGATGCAAAAACCACAGGAGTTCTCAGCCTGCTCTTTGCATTACAACAGTGCATTACAACTTACTTCTTTGCATTACAACTCATGCTATCATAGTTACAATATTTTAGCTTGAAACAAAAAATATGATTAACATATTCATAGAATTGTTACATTCAGATAGCTCTTAAGTGACATTCGCCGTTTCAAAGAATGGAGACAAGATCATCTAACTCAGAAAATCCAGCATCAGTGGTACATGATTTTTCTCCTGTTTGTTTTGCATTTACAATATATGACTAAGTTTTTAGTACTCACAGGCTTACCATCTGGACCAGGCTGACCAGGATAGCCATGATTCCCAGGCTGCCCAGGGTCACCCTACGGAACAGCAGTATGTTAACACACAAAAGATATGAAAGAGCATTTCAAAATTAACACAGAGCAACCTTAACCCTAATACATCCCACAAAACAGTGGTTTTAAGCCCAGATACCTGTGAAATGCTGGGGTTTGAACCCCAAGCCCCCGAATTAAGGTTGACATATGGGTGATTCCCACAGCCCTTCATAAAGAGGTGGTGAGTTTGCCTTATAGCTTCCCCCCAGGGTGCGGCCGGCCCTGCAGGGAGAGCCAGAAGGGAAATGAGCCCCAGGGGTCCCGCATTGAGTTGACAAAGGTCAGGGGTCTGCTTGGGGATAAAAGCTGGGACCACTTGCAGGGAGTCAGGAGTGTCTGTCTGTGGAGTGCCCTCCCCAGAGCTTCCTGGTTCAGGGCAGACCTCCTGACTCCCTGGAGCTGGGCCCCAGTCTGTTTAAGCCTTTGTAAACGCAGGCGGATTGGGTGACAGTCACTATGTGGGCACCTTTCTCTTATGTGTTTAACTTGCTGGTCTGGCTGTTTCCCATGCCAACTATGGGCAACCTCGTCTCACTGTTTGTACCACCTGTTGTGGGCCGAGTCACATCTTTTGTGGGATTTTTGGGGGTGGCGTTAATTATGTACCAGCTGATTGATCTGTTTGTACCGCCAGCGATCATTCATGGAATGTCCTTTTTGTATACAATACAGTCTATGTATTGGATTCTCTTTCTGCTGGTGGTATCATTTTTGTTGGGCCTGGTCATTGGCAGAACATACCTGCTATTAAGGAGTAATTGCTACAGCAAAAAAAAAATAACTCATCGTGTAACCCCCTCCCTGGGAAAACTCTCCCTAACTTCTTGTGTAGGACTTGGAGAAGTGAGCCCATGCTCTGTTACAGCACAAGTTTGGCCCATCATCTTGTTCTTATAGCAAAAGCACTGGAAAGGCAGGGGCCAGGATTAAAATCTAATAAATACTAAACTCCTCTCCATATAGTTATTGCGCTCTAAAAAAGATATTCTTTTAGATAGCAATTAGCCTTTGTAACTATTTTGATAACCTCTGTTATGACCATGTTAAAGGAAAAGTCAGTTCCTCAGGCTTCATGTTTATAGTGAAAAAGGAGGAAATTCACTTCCTACTCAATGTATCCTGTTAGTGTAATAAACTTCTTGTTTATTTTACTAACAGACTTGATTTGAGCACAGCAAAATCCAGTAAGACTTGATCTAGAAAAACATTTTACTTGTATAAGAGTGTTAAGCAGGTACCACTTTCTTCAGCCTGAATCATCAACAGATCTGTGAGTCAGTTACAACTGCAGAATTGTTATAAACAGGGAGGACATTAAGAGGGAAAG